AACTTGTCGATTCAACAATACGTTTCACGTAATTATTTATTTAAATAAATAATTTGGCGTTCCATTAAAATACAAAAAATAATGTAATTTACAATTATTGTTATTTTTTAAATATTTGTGTGGAATCTCTTGGCATTTTTATTAAGATGGCATTCATTTTACGAGGTTTAGTGCCCCTTCTGGTCTGATTTCCATAAATGCCATAAATTTTGGATTTTTCTCTCCATCATGACTCACAAAATTTTGAATTGGGCTTATTTCAGGGAGAGTGTGGAAGTGTGGGCAAAAAGTTACAAATGCTGTAATTGAGCCATAATTTTTCCATTCTGGACGTATGTTTTGTGTCGTTCTTTTTTTAAATATATAATTATGGCAGGGTATGTCCACATATTTGGAATAACTTCGCGTTTTTTTGTTCATGTTGGATGCCCAAATTTTTCTAACGATATTATAAATTCACCAGTTTTCGTGGTCCGCTTGACCTAGCCGAAGGTCGTGGGTTCGAATCCCGCTCGTGACATTGACTTTTTTATCTCAACTAAAAACCTTAATTAATTGAAAGTTATTACAAATGTTTTTTATTTAAATGCATTGCGAGGCATACATCAACTTCTTCCTCAGTCGAATTTATTTGAGCCTCAACGTCTCAAGGGAGGACTATTCATATACAAACAAATTATTCATTGTAACTGAAACCTTGTTTGGACAATAAACTATACGATTATTATTTTTTAAATCAATAATTATGTGTTATATTAAAATGCAAAAAATGACATTTTTGAACGACAGAAAAATTGTTGACACACTCATAAATAGACTGAAATAACCAAGTTTTTAGGAATTGTTGGGGTAAGAAATATCGCCAAATTGCAAATGAATAAGATATAAATATTTTTAATTATTATTTCTATAGATTTAGGTTAATCAAATCAAAAGAAGTTTCGTTATAAAAAATCAAATTGCCTCGATATTTGAGCAAAGGTTTGTACGTTAGGTAAACAATTTAAACGTTCAACAAATGCAAAAAGACCCGGAAGACCGAGGAAAGCTTCTACGACACAGGCTTAAGACAAATCCGATAATAATTGCACATAAAGACGCGCCTTGCTTCACCTTTTGGGATCTTTGGACTCAAAGTTTCCCTAATCGCTTCCACGAAGCGGTATACAATAGCGAAACGGGTTCAGTAAAAATTCATCCTTTTCATAAGTAGTATAAACAGGATAAAAAGGTTCAATTTTACTCGAGGACAAGTCGATAAATCCCTGGACTTCTGGAAAAATATTATCCTCTTAGATAAAAATAACTTGAATATATACATTGTTTCTCTTTTTAATGATCTGATTGGTGGTTCGTTTGGAGGAAATCGAAACTGAATTAGACGTTAAAAATACTCGATGGTGTGGGTCGTAAGTGCTATAAGAATCGGCGAATTAGTAGTGATAGAAGGTATTCTGAATGTTATAAGATATCTGCCATAAAAAAATAAAATGAAAACGCACAGAAGTTGAGGATCCAAAACACTTCTTCCTCAAAACTACACAAAACATACAGCCAAAATAACCAAAGAATGGCTTATTTACAGCTTCCACAACCTTTTACCCACTTCCACACACTCTTGAAATAAGCCCAATTAAAAATTTATTGTCCACGATGAAAAGAAAAATCTAAAAATGTAAATACTCTCAAGGAGTGAGCATTTAAAAACCCTCGGAAAATGCATCCCACGAAAGTTACAGACCAGAAAATGCGAGGGATTGCAAAAAAATAAAAGAAATTGTAAATTACATTATTTTTTTGTATATTCACGTAACACCTATGTTATGCAAGAATAGAGTAACGGTCGAATACCTTTTCAGTTGTAGAAGGCTTGACGAATATGGATAATATTTTAGCATAACATCGGACCTGTGCATAGTCTTTCATAGTCACAGCTGTTCGGCTACCTCAGGGCGATAGGGATTTTTAAATGTATATAGTGTTTATGTGTGTTTGTGCTGTGTATCTGTTGTGTTTATGTAGATTTATTGGAATGAATGTAATTTATTAGCTTGAAAGGAAGGAGTTGTTCAACGAGTACCCTGGGGTGAATGTGTGACGTCTGAAGAGTAAAAATATTTTATTAGCGAGAATGGAGTGGGTTCAATCGAGGAATATCGAATAATCCGGGGAGTGAATGTGACCAGACTTAGTATGTTTATATCAGGTGGTATATGTATTGTATGTTTTGTGTCTATTCTATAGTTGACAGCTTGAGGTACAAATGAGATCCAAGCATTTTAGGATATCGACGTATTATACATATAAAAGCAGAGAGTTAGTAACTAGATCGAGACGCTCGAATGTTTACTTTTTAAAACAAAACATGTGAAATACCAGAAAAAGAATGAAAACACGCCGAGGGCCGGCGATGACCTCAGCTGTTTGTCGGCCCATAAACCTCCCACTTTATATAATATGAAGTTAATTATTCTTTAAACAAATATTTACATAAACATTTTGTTGAATCGTCGAGTTTATTTTTCCAAATAAGGTTTTTATATAAAATAAAATTAACGAATAAAAAACCAAGTGTATGAATAATTTTTTAACCCACTGTATTTGAGAAGTCCTGTACTACTAATTTTGTCGACTGTTGAGGCTCAAATAAATGCTAAAGAGGTGGAGGATCGTTAATACCTCGAAATGCATTTAAAAAAATCATATAAGGCTGGAAATGCTTAATGTCATCAAAACCAAGTGCTAATGGACATCAACATCACGACACATCAAAAAACACGAAGAAAATCAATATTTTAAAAAATCCTCTTGTGTTATGGAGCAATTCTTATTTAGCCATATTTGTTTTATGTACTCTACAAATTAGAGTTCGAGATCTAGGATTTTCATACGGTTTTTTGCTAATTTTAAAATGAATGTGATAAATTGGCATTTTCATCATTTAATTTTTTTTATTATTTAAAGTGAAGACCGCTGCTTAGACTGCTATGAAAATTTATGATGTGTATGGTGATGCTTAAGAGAAAGGGTTCGTAAGTTCAGTGGATTCGAAAGCGAAAATTATTGATTTGTACGATGTAAACGGTTGTCTTTCAACCGTTGATGATTAAACTCAGGCTTTTCTCATAAATCACCCACATTCAAGTTACAGTGCAGCGACAATTAACATATCTCATACATGTGTTTCAAATCATCTGTCTACAGCTGGATACGTTTGTATGAGCGATATATGGGGGGGGGGGATTCCAGACACATTAACTGGGAAGAAATTATTAGCCTGCGATTCCCTCCTAAAACTCTAGGTAAAGGAACCATTTTTATAAAGTTTGATAACTGTGGATGAAAAGTCCTATAAAAGTGCAGTTAGTCATGTGAAAGTCCTGGGGAAAACGCCCCATTATTAACAGTACAAAAGATTACGTCCTAAAAAAATCCATATTTTTTGAGATAGAAAAGGCATGCTTTATTACGAGCATCTTTTGCTCAACCTGTTAATTAAGTTAAAGCATAATTCACACAATCGTAACGATTAAAGTCAGCATTAGACCAAAAACTAGCTAAACGCAAGGGGGTTGTTTTCCAGTATGATAAATCGTCAGAAATTGTTCGAGATTGGCTGGGATCTGCTACCCCACCTTTATTCGCCAAAAATTACCCCTTTTGATTTTCACTTATTCCAGGCTCTGGAATTCTCTATTAATGAGAAAAAAATTTCACTTGAGTTTGATTATTTTTTAAACAAATAAAACCAAGTGAATCTGATGACCCACTGTAAATATTACTGAGGAGGCGACTGTTTAAATTTACAAAAAAAAACATAACATTGAAAAATGTTTACTTATTTCCTTCCTACGGACTTAGTTTACTAAACGATAAATCTCGCTCGGCAATCGCAGTGCTGTCGTTTTTGTAATTAATCGATTCAATTCCTTCGACGCTAATCTTAAGGCTTTAAAGACGGGATTACGAGCCCGGGTCCCAGTAGAGATAAGTACATCCGTTTTGGAATATAATCGCTAAGTCGCCCACTCCGGGGGGTTGGGGAAAGGAATTCAAAATTTCAAAAATCAAAAGACCATTGAAAAATTGCCAGATGGGCAAAGGACGTGCCGAGCATGCGTCCTTTCAAGGTTCATCGTCATTTTCCTGATTACAGATATGTATATTCGGTATTCATGCGATTGTATATCAAGCAGGAACGACCCGCGTGCTTTTCTGCGGTATTTTCTTTTTCTCGAGGGTATCGTTTGTAAATATGGAACCGTTTAAAAAAATGTTCGATCGAAGATAGAAGACAAACGCTCTGGAATTAAGGGATTAATTTTAAATTCAATATCAAAACGATACTCCAAAGGGCAAATAACAAGGTCGGATTGTTTAAAAAAAAAAGGAATTTTGAAGAAGAAAAAAATCTCGACAGGGAGGACTACCGCAGTCTGCGAAACTGACCTCCGCCATTTGTAAAACATAAAATATAAAAAATGAGAAGAGTAAATAAACTAGCCCCCCTCCTGAGTACAATAGACGCAAAGTTGAGGCAATACCGCATCTACCAGAGAGCTGTTTAGATGCGATACTTGCTAAAACCCTTCATCTGCCATGAAATATATAGATGAGGACTTTTTTCGCATATTGAAACCCTCTACACACTCCGTGACTCAGTGAGAGAGGAAATTTTCGGGGAAAAAAATAGGGATGCGAAAAAGGAAGTCGGGACTTAGTCGTACGTCTGTAGAGAAGATCCGCCGCTCCCTTTTCCGACTAAAACGAAACAAAACCAACGAAGATCAATTTCGTTACGCCCCCCTATCAAACCCTCCGAATTAATATTATTCGCGTTTCGGTACGTCATTGATTTTCGATAGGAACAGCCCAGCCATGTGGTCGCCGCTCGCGAATCAAGCATGCGTACCTTCGTGCTATTTTTTTTCTTTAATTTGTTTTAATTTTTATCTTATTAAAAGGGCGTCAAAACAGTGTAGAAAATTAAATCAACTCACTTCATTTGTTTTACAATCGTCGACTTTCCGGATTCTCCGGCACCTGAAACAATCGAGAGATTCATTAAAAAGGAAACAAAGGCGATTAATTAACATCGCATGTCAAACACAACAGGCGGTGGCACAGAAAAGCCGCAACGGTTCTCGTTGTACATAAGATTTTTTTTAAACAATCCCAATGGGGAGAAAATATGTGAAAAATATGGAGCTGAATGGTGGGCAAAATAGGTTCGAGCTCATCTGTAAAGGTGCGTAAGGGAGAGAAGAGATTAATCGACCCAGCCGCCATTCTTACAATTTCATTCATGACTTTAAAAAAAAAATCAGGAGTATATTTATTATATTTTTTTTACAATATAACTTAAATGCGTAAAAATGGAACAGACGGTTAAAATGAAATCCCGCAATTTCATGTGGAAACATTCGGGCGCGACTTTGCTCCCCCCCTTGCCGGTCAAATTCAAAAAACTGAGGGGCGATCCCAAAATGAGAATGACTCACCCCTACGAAAGTCAATTGTTCAAATTACTACGAAATTATCCGGGGAATAACCCGATAAGGTTTCGGTTTTCCATCGTGGAAAAAAATCTACATACCGAGTAGTAAGAGTTTGATGTCTTTGGCAGCTTGAATCCCATCTTCTTTCAGGTTTTTCTCGATCTGCTTGCTCCTCGCCAGAGCCGCTCTTTCCTCAGCAGACATAGCACAACCCATTTCGGTAAACTTTCAAAAAGTAATTACCAATAATTTATTTCACCGGAAAAAAAATTATTGGTCCACTTGGTTTCCTTCACTGAGCACAGTATCGCGCGCTCGACTCTGAATCGACACTGTTCGCACAAAACATCAACAGATACTTAAACGCTTCATCCTGTTTATTAATTTCCCTCTGAATTTGAACTATTTATTGTACTATATCCTGCGACGACGCGTAATTTTTTTTGTTTTTAATTTTTTAGCCGAAGTTCGATAGGTCAACTATGCGGAGTTGTACATCGTCGAGTCAGGTACAAAAGTAAGCTTTACAGACGAAGCAGCACCGACCAATTGGGGAGGGCGACTTTCCAGTCTGGCCACAGCAACCGGCCGACATTTCCCCGTCTTATCTCCTGCTTTATTTAAAGCTCCACCTCGCCAACGTACAGGTGTCAATCCTATAAACAGACATAAAATTTTTTACCGGCCGGACCAGCTGTAGAAACAGCATTCGCAGCATCTACACAACATAAATACACAGCCAGAAATTTTACTAACAGAAAAAAAATCAAGATTGTCCTTTCAGAGAAAATTTTTTTAACGAATCTTGTGATTCCTTCCTAAAAATTGGATTAAATAAAATTTATAAACTGAATCTGATACGGTCAGACTCGACTAATTTTTATGTGCAACTTTTTCTTTGTAATTTCTTTTCCAAGAATACGAATAAGTGGTTCAAAGTGACTTTGAAACTTTACAACAGTTACAACTTTACAATTTTACAAGTTTATTGCAAAATAAAATCCAGGCTGTGTAACGAATCGTTTGTACAGTGAGAATCGACTAAATTTTTTTGTGCAGCGTTTTCCTTGTAATTTGTTTTTCAAGCTTACTAATGAGCGGTTCAAAGTGACTTACAAACTTTACCACACAAAAGTCCAGACTGTTAAACGAATCGTTTGATTCCTTCCTAAAAATTGGATTAAATAAAATATATAAACTGAAATAAGGTCAGACTCAACGAATTTTTATGCGCAGCTTTTTGTTTATAATTTATTTTCCAAATACATGAATGAGTGGTTCAATGTGATTTTGAAACTTTACTACAAAAAATCAAGGTTGTCCTTTCAAAGATAAAATGTATAACAAACTTTTTAATTCCGTCCTAAAATTTTAGTAAATAAAATATATAAACTGAAATATCAGACTCGACGAATTTTTATTTGTAATTTATTTTCCAAACATACGAATGAGTGGTTCAAAATGATTTTGAAACTTTACGACAGAAAATACAAAAATCAAGATCATATGACAAATCTTTTGATTCCTCCCTAAAAATTTCATTATATAAAATATGTAATTTAAAATACCGTGTTTAACAAACTATATGACGACACTCATACCGTAATAATTTTTTAAAAAATTTAATTTAATTTTCCTTAAAATTTATTTTCATAAATAATTTATTTGTAGCCTATAAATATAAAAATATCATATATTGTATTATTTAAATGTACAGGGTGTCCCGTGAATAGAAGTCAATACTTCAGGAGAATACCCTTCAAGTCAAATTATTGACTAGACTAAAAAGTCTCTATTGTCTAAAGACCCTTTTACAATTGTATTTACGATATTTCACTTTTCAGATTACTTCAACCTTTAACAACTTTATCCCATAACGTCCAACATATCTCATAGAATGTTAATCCTTCTGTAAAATTGATAACACCAATAGAAAAAGCATTAACAACCCTACGAGATTCATTTTTTTATTAGTAACGTTAAGCAATCAAAACACAAAATGACTTAGAAGATAAACTTTTACGAGTTTCCAAAGTTCTTTATAAAAGACTAAAAGTTCTTGTCTAAAGTTAAGTAAGTTTTTTTGGTTCTGTTAATAATGAAAGATATGGCGCTTACAGAAAAGTTGTCCCCACAAATGAGCTGTATATACCTGTTCATACACCTTAACCTAACGTTAACCCTACCTAACCTAATCCTAACCTAGGGATAGGGATAAAAGAGTCGGCCTTCTGCACCTCGACGTGAGTAGATCTATTGTGCTCAATCCTAACCTAACTTATTCCTAATCCTAACCCTAACCTAACCTTTCTTTACCAAACGTAACACTAATAATTACCTTAACCTTAACTCAACCGAACCTTACCCAATCCATGCACATTCTACAGTAAAGGAAATTCATCACGCAAAAATATTTTGCCCAAAAGCATCCTTGTTAAAAAAATTTTAACTGTAGGAACTTCGAAAGTTTCCATAGTCCTTGATCTTGCAATTCGTCAAACAAACTTCTTAACTTAAAAAGTTCTTGTCTAAAGTTAAAGTAAGGTTTTCTTAACCGTACATACTGACAGATATGACGCTTACCGATATGTTGCCCCTACTAATGAGCTGTAAATACATGTACATGTACCCTAATCTAGCCATAATCCTACTTAACCTAAGGTTGAAGTAACCTGAAAAGTGAGATATCACGAATACAACTGAGAATCAGACATTGGACAATAGAGACTTTTAGTCTAATTTGACATGTAAAATAACCTCCTGAATTGCTTTTCTGCTTCTGAAGAGTATACTTTCAGGTTAAGCGTAAAACTCCAAAATTGTACCGTATTCCAGCAATATTCCAAGGTCATTTAGTTGGTAAAAGGAGTCGAGTAAAGTTAAAAGTTATCATTTTTTGGTATTATTTCTCTATTTGATTTTTTAGAACCTATCTTTTTTCTTCTTAACCAGGTGGTTAAGATAAAATATTTAAAACAATTTGATACAGTAATAAATATATCTCTCTCCTGTGTGTTTGTTTTGCAAACGCTTGTAATCGCTCACTACAATTGTTTTTCTATTATTGCTCTATAAAATAAAAAAAGAATCGTTTCATTAGTAAAATTTAAAAAACAAAGTCAACCAAAAGCGAAAACATACAACTTTTTAAGAGAAGGGATTTTAAAATTACTAAGCGGGCCTGAATTCAGGTTGAAAGACTGAATTTTAGTATGGGAAGATAGTTTTTCTCACAAAATATACATCAAAGACGAGAGAATATGGTAAGTTATGTCGAGTTAGTTCATCAAGGCAGGAGGATAAGACTTGATTCGCAACATTCAAAAAATTATTTCAAAAATTCCCAAAGCTCGGAATCTCACGGGACCACTTTTATTCTGTACAAAAAGAGTTATAGCTTAATTTTTAAAAAAATTATAAGATGCATTTTGGGCTAAAAAGCCATCGTTACACCCTTAAAATCAACAAATCGTGTACCAGACTCGGAGATGACATTACTGAGCGCAAATAATTATTTTGAAAGAAAATCCAAAAATTTTAATACAATAGTAAACTTAAAATGTTACGCTTTTGTAAACAACTATTTATCCGACAATTCTTTCAACGGGAAACCCTCGACCAAATATTCTGTGCAATTCCTTTCCAATATATTTTCAAAGGGGGAATTACGATCTTCCTCGATCTATTTTTGGCTATTGTAATTAGATCTTTTTAACAATTTGATTGCGGATATTTTAACACTTTTGAGCGATCTAGGGATAACTTGATGACTCGAGACAAATCACAGAGTGTGAGATGACTCCTGGGCATTTGAAACCCTCTGTCGTTTACCGTAGATGTCTTGGGTTTTTCGCTAGCTTCAGTTAGTAACAACTTATCTCAGTGCCAAATCGCTTCGAGAACGAATTAATCGACTTTTTTTATAAAAATCTATACATTGTAAAATACTGGAATGAACATTGTTATTGTTACTGGTATTGATGTAATAAGTGCTATGTTTGCTATTTTAAATAGCACAGTGTGTTATTTTTGTGTTGACTAAATATATTTCGTGAAATGAATAACTTTGGAAAATGTTTATTTTTTCTCCTCTCATTATTTATATCTTACTTTATCTTATTCTTTGAAAAATTGGATCTTCAAAGTGTGGTAGCGTAGTTTATGGAAAGGGTTAATCCTGGACACCCTGTAAAGAGACTGGGCTGGATGGACTTATTGTCGTTTTGATAAAACTAACCCTTCTAAATCATTCCTAACCCATGCACTCTCACCAGTAACGAGAAAATTTCTCGCAAAAAATTGTGCATCCAATCAAAACATCCATGTTCAACTTTTTTTTATTGTAGGAACTTTGGAAAGTCGTGACTCCATAACCTCCCAATACGTCCAAAAACACAGTGTACGGGAAGGAGGTGTATTATTAAAGCTCAACCTCAAAAAAAAATGTAACAACATTCGCGGAATATAGAAAACGTTAAACCCGAATACCCTGAAAAGAGATAGAGCTTGAAAGACTTATTCTCGTGTTTACAAAACTAACCCTAACCCTAACCTAACATACTCCTATTCCTAATTCTACGTAACCTCATCATTCCTAACCTTAACCTAATCGTTCCTAACCTAACCTGATCCAACCCATACGCACGCTCCAGTAATGCGAAAATAGTCACGAAAAAATGTGTAACCAGCACAAAAACATCCATGTTCAACATGTTTTTAAGTGCATGAACTTTGGTGAGTTTTGGTGAGTTGGTGAGGCCTCTTGACCTCCTAATACGTCAAAAAAACCGGGGTACCGCAAGGATATGTATTATTAAAGCACGACTTCAAACAAATTTGACAGCATTAGCAGAATATGAAAAAGGCTAAACCTTAACATCCTGAGAGGCAGAGAACTCTAAAACGAGAGAAGAAGAGGCTTATTCTCGTATTTATAAAACTAACTGTAAGATATGGTCCAGGGAATTCCACCGGCCCTGTATTCGAACCCGACATACTTACAAATGGGCTTTTTTCAAAAACACCCTAAGGGTAGTTGAAATACCATTGTTTAAAAAGAGACCTAACCCGCATAACCTTAAACCTACCTAACCTAATCATTCATACCCTAATCCTAACCTAGCCCTACCAAACCTACGCTATTTCTAACCTTAGATTAGGTTAGGTAGGCTATGGTTTTAATCGAGTTTGCGACTGGCTTTCTTCAAACTTGTCCAATCTCGGAGCACATGATCTCTTTACATCTAAAAACTGTACGTTCTAAAGGATGAGGTGCAGACCAAATCTTCACAGGATATACCGAAATCTTGTGAGATATTGAGCCCTGTTGACGGTCTTTGTGCTGAGGTTGTCGAACCCATTTCTCATCATATAGGACGATGAATAAATATACGCCGATAGTCCCAAAATCTAACTTCCTGTCCTACTGTTTTCCTACAGCCAATCATACTAATTCCAATAATATATTTAATATATTACAGTACTATTGTACAGTATATACAATACAGTGTACAGTATAAATATATACACACAGTATTATTGTA